GTAATTGTGGGGCCCCCAAGGCGAACAGTTGCAACAAAGCTCCATTTTTCTTCCTAGCAGCACGCTCTATTTGGGGATTACTAACAACCTTATTTTCTGGAACAGATAAGCCTTGTAAAGCCACCTCCTTATCATTCACGTGAAACCTCATCTGCAATTTTTAAAAATCCCAAACAATGGATCCCAATGTACATAGCCATTGAAAAAACCTCATCTCATGTTCTCAAATAGAACTTTGAAAGAAGACGGGCACGATCGACAAAACGAAAATTGAAAGATAGGTTCAAATGAAGCAATAGTTCAACCGTGCCCAAACTATTCATCTCTTGTATGAACGTTGATTTCCCGCGATTTTGATGAAAACTGTAAGAATGCTTTGAAAAGGAAGAGTCCAACATTGTACTAAGAACACGCGCAATCGAGCCCGAGACTATAAAGTCCTTCGGCTCTGGCAAAAGAACGACCGTAAAGAGCTTATCTTCTTTCTTAAAATCTAAGAAGAATTGGGAGTTTTCCACATCATTAGGCACCTCTGCGATCCTCAATGGTGACCACACATAAGACGACTTGAGGACTGACTTTCTCATCTAAGAAAGTTCTTGTTTGGAAATTTGATATGGAGCCCCCCCTTCCTCATATAGAGCAAGAATACCGATTTCCAAAGCAATTCGCTCTAGATAATTTAACTTATATTCAACAAGAATTATCAAAAACAATGAACTATTATGAAGTGTAAAAGTTGATTTCATGAAATAACGAAGTGTAATGCCAGCTCCTTATCATTCACGTGAAACCTCATCTGCAATTTTGAAAAATCCCAAACAATGGGCTCCAATGTACATAGCCACTGAGCCCCTAATACCACATCATACCCTTCAAGTGGTAATAAATAAAAGTCAACATAAATAGGGACTCCTTGCAATTTAAGTTGGACATTTGTACATTTACCTAGGCTTGCTAGCTTCTATCCAAAAGCCACCATTACCTCAAATCGGGTACCTAAGACTGGCTGCAATCCCTCTTTCCTTGCTAATTTCTCACTCACAAAGTTGTGAGTACTGCCAGAATCAACCAAAACAGTAACGACCACATGTCCAAGACTGCCCTCAACTTGCATGGTCTCCAGCGCGCTGATCCCAGCAATAGCATGAAGAGAATTTTTTGGTGTTCTGCAAACTAGTCACTTCTTCATCTTCCTCCATGATTATGTCTCCATCACCTTCCTCCAAGCATGCCTCGATGAGGAATAATTTCTTGCAGCGATGTCCCAGGTTGAACTTCTCATTACAATTGTAACAAAGCCCCACCTTTTTCACCGCTCCTGAAGTTCTGCCAGCGACGTTCTTCTTACTAGAATGGCTGGTTGGCTTGGACTTGCTGCCTTGTTAGATTGGAAGCCAGGTTTTGGGGGCATGTGGGTTTGCCCTTCCCTGAGATAGGTTGCGGGCTTCATACAAACACGACAGACTGACTGCCATTGATAAGGTCGTGGGTCTGCTGGCCTGCACATCAGTCCTAGTCTCGCAAGCCACTAACAAATAGCTTACCTGTTGAGCTTGCGACAGATGCCCAACCTTAGCAAGTAACTTCTTGAACTGATTTTGGTAGTCCCATACCAATCCGTTTTGCTGCAACTTAGTGAGCTCCTCGAAAGAATCGTAGAACTGATTTGGTCCATAACGAGAGTGGAGTCCATCCCTGAATTCATCCCCAAGTGATGACAGCCATCCCTTGCTTCAAGAGTTGATACCACAATTAAGCGTTGCCCTCAAGATGAAACAATGCCAGTGATACATGTTCAGCTTCAGGCGTCTCATGAAATTGAAAGAATTGCTTGGCCCTACATAGCCAGCTCGTTGGGTCTTCTCCTCCATTGAAACGTGGGAAGTCCAACTTCAAAACCTTAGGCATATAAGACCCAGTGTGATGATAGATAGCCGCTACTGCCATTGACCCCGCCCCTCATTTGCTCGACTTGGAGCTAGTGAATTCTCTCCCATCTCCCTAGCAAATTGCCTTGCTATTTGATCCTAATGAGTACTGAATTTTTCAAATAACTCAGCCATCTGATTCATGATGTCTTGCTGACTGGTTGAGAGAGACCCCACACTTGCTCTAATTGCTCCACTTGCTGGTCCATGTTTGAGCTCTGATACCACTTTGGTACGGCTTGGCTACTCTTGGTGATTTTTCTGTTACCTATCTTGGACAATGAAGAAGATATAGAACGAGAAGAAGGGAAACATATGTTGTTGGGTTGCTTCGAGGGAACCCAATACCTCCAAAGGTTTACACGATAGTGTAGGGATAAAAATCAGATGATCCCTTCTTTATTCATTCATCTCTTAAAAAGAGACATTACAACGTTAACTTCCTAATGAATAGGTCAAACACCAACAAAAGAGGAGTTCTAAATAACACCCCGAATATAGACACATTATATATAGATATAGGCACGAATCAATGACATTTGGTTGCCAAAGTCCACCTTTGCAATCACTCCAAGCGCCAAAATGTATCCACTAGATTAGCTTTCCATTTTGTAAGAAATCGAAAACTCCGAAAAAAAAATTGATCTTAATAAAAATCTCAAAAGCATAGATTTTTTAGTGTTATTTCGCTTTCAAGAAGGCACACAAAGTATTTTGGGGGGTTACAGTGCCTTCAAAACCCTTTTCTCCCTAGAAGTTGAAAAACAATTTCCCTCAAGTTTCAACTTACCTCAACTGGACCCTTTTCTGCCCTTGGCCAAGTGCATCAAGGTGCCCACCTTAAGATGGCTACCTAGGCGGCACCTTGTGTGCCTAGGCCATCAAGGTGCCCACCTTAAGATGCCTACTTAGGCGGTACCTTGGGTGCCTAGGCAGGCACCCGCCTAGGGCTTTACTATGCAGTGTTTTGTCCTAGCTGCGAAGGCACAACCAAGTAGACGAATTTTTTAACATCGGCAAGAGATACATTTTTTGAGAGCTCCTAAAGTAGAGGTTCAACTTTTTTTATTCATTAACACTAACTTTACCATTAATATATTTCCTCGTTTTTATGGCACAACAAACTTTTAGCTTGAAACACAGAGATAAGTGGCCAAAAGAGCAAGAACAAAAATACATGATGTGATGTTTTCCATTAAACGAATCCCCAAAAGGACCAGTTGGTTTTGGCAATGACAAGTCCAAAGTCCTCAGCGGCATTTGGGCAACATTAAGAACATGAGAATTTAGGTCACCAGAAATGACAATTTGGTTACCACTACATGAAATTTGTGTAATATCAAGTGATTTCTCAAAGAAGTCAAGGGGTTATTTTGCATATAACCAAAACAATGGATCGAGGTCATCAAGTACAAATCACAAGCCGTTTCTAGAGAAAGTATGTCAAGGAAACGGATTCAAATAAAATAGTCAGGGCAAGAATTTCCTTTCAAGAATGACAGAAAGACTAATATAATCATCAAAGTTGAAATAAAAATGTAGAAAGTAGAAATAAAAATGTAGAAAGTAGAAATAAAAATGTAGAAAGTAGAAATAAATGACTTCCTTAAAACACATAGACACAAGGTTTGCTAGCAAACGTTCAAGTGCATGAAGTAAGTAAATCAAATTTATATGTAACAAATCACCCGGCTCTCAATATCAAACCAATTATCGGCAGGGTAATTTTCAGAATGGCCGAGGGCAAACAATGCAAAATGACTGCCCCAAACAACGATATAATGTGTGCCAACAGAACACTTGCCGATATTAGGCCCCATAGTTTCATAAAACCAAAAAATGACAAGTAAATATGGGCAAGGTAATTTAAGGCTGAAAGTATACATTTTTACACACACATTTGTGTATATTATTGTGAGAAATTCATTGTGTTGCATTAAAATAAGGATAAAAGATGGCTTCTCAAAAAGCTAGGAACAGGGGGATATTGTGTGCATACTTTTGCTCATTTCAAGATGCAAAGCTTCAAGATAATGAATGCAATAGGCAATAACAGTAAGGTAACCAAATAGTTTGATGAACATCCAACATTGAGAAACTACTATCCATTTCCTACTAGCCCGACTTTTTTCTTTTATAAAATTTTGAATAAGTTTCCTACCAACCTTATCTTCTAAATTTCTAATCTTGCTCTTCAAATTCTTGCTCGGAGGAAATGTCAACTTCTTACGTGTTATAGCCCCAGGCTATTTAAAACACAAAGCTTGAAGATAGTAGATGCATCCACACATCAACAACAACAATAAAAACAACAACGTTGTAACAAAATATATTGGTGAACACCCAATACAAGACATATAGAATTAAGAGAAACTAATACTCATTTCCCACTAATCTTCAACCCAAAAATGTTGAGTGCATTAAGAAACAACTCCATGTATAGGAGTACCCTAACAAAACCCTAGAAAATACCATATTTTATAGCATAAGATTCCACCAAACATGTTATCCAAACTAGCCACCCTTCCTAGCTATGTCTCTAACGCCATCAAATTTTAGTCAATATATAATGATCAACATAACAAACATCAAGTCAGACAATTAAAAGATATCTTCTTGTGCCATAAATATGGCTTTCACCACATACTTCAAAAAGCAAAAGCCAGGAGAAAACCCTATCTAAAGTGGTGGGGATAGAACATGGATTACATCTTACGCCATAGAATTCCATAGTAACAAAGCAAAATTAATTTTTGTCAGAATAAAAGTGAAAGCCCAAAAAAAAAAAAACACCATCTCACTAGCTGGTTCTTAATTCAGCAGAAGAGATTCAAGATTCAAAGCACGTAAGCTCCCTCCAAAACCCTAGCTTTCCAGAATTACAAATTCATACAAATCATGCCCTAATCCTACAATTCGAAGAAAATAAATCACATTAAGAAACAGAAAAAGAAAAAGCAAAACTACCAATTCAATCCAATACATCAATTCTCCATCTAAATACTGCAAGAGAACTAATCCAAACACCATATGAGAGAGATACAGATAGAGAGAGAGAGAGAGATTTACCTTGGTTTGGAAATTGAGCTTAGGGGGTTTGAAGGGGTAATCAGGAGGGAAGTGGATCATGACAAAGAAGACTCCACCAGCAAAGGGGCTTTCAGCAGGGCCCATGATGGTGGCCTGCCAGTGGAAGAGGTCCTCACCAACAGGCCCTGCGCTGCATGATGTTGGAGGGTCCCTCTGCAAGTCCTGCAGCTCCTTCTGGATTCTCTTGCTCGCCATTCTCTCTCTCTACAAAACCCTAGGCTATATGTCCCAATAACAGGATTCTTACACACTGAAAGGAGAAAGAATCTGCAGAGATGGATTGATAAATATGAAGGAGGGAGAATTTGAGGAGACGGATTGAAAATATCGATGGAATAGGTAGAGATATACAAAGATATTTACGTATGGAGAGAGGGAGAGAGCTTCTTATAGTGCGATTTTTAATTTTTTATAAAGGAAAAGTGGGGGACGAAGAGCAAGTCTGGTTAAGTGGATGGATTTTGTGATGAACAAAAAGGGAAGGTTGGGATTTTGTGATGAACAAGAGGGCGAGAGATTTGGAGAGGGCTAAAACAACAGAGGAAAGGCGTCAATTTTACGGAAGAGGGACGCTTATAAAAACAACCTATGGCTTAGGGTTTAGGGTGATTGAATTTGCTTTGCTTTGCTTCTGGTCTAAAATTTGAAGGCTTTAATATTTAAAATTTAAAATGTTATTTTTTTTTTTTTTTTTTTTTTTTTTTATGGGCCGAAAGCTAAGCGAATCTCACAATACTAGTTTCAAGTTTCAACTTTTGAAATTCCTCCGGTTAATCATCATGGATCCAATTAAATCATCACGGATGCTTAGATTTAGAAAAAAAAAGATTTCAAGTCTTTAAAATATAATGTCCAAAATGATAACTATTTTTCATATGGACCCGACTTTGGGTCCCATATGGTTTTTTATTGTTGTTACGAGATACAATTACCAAAAAAAAAAAAAGGTTTTTAAAATAATGATCTTGTAACACAATATTTGGACTGTCGAATTTCAATAAATTTTTTTTTTTATTTTTATATGTTTATAAATCAGCTTGACCTACACCAGTTTTTATATTTTAAATTTTATAATGAAGTGAAAATAAATTTTGAGGCCATCTTAAAAATTTCTACCACCAAAATTACATTTTTTGACAAAGTTTTACGATATTGCTTAAAATAAATATCTTATGCAAACCCAAATTTAAAAGAATGAAGAATTCAATAGAAATATTGTTCAAATGAAAAAACCACCTCGCAAGGTTATAAAGGTGTCAATCTCATTAACTCACGTTGGTCAAAGACTAGTAACACAAACTCGCCTTTTCTTTTGTAAAACAATGTTTTATGTTGCTAACCTTGAAACCAATGTATCTTGCTCATTTAGTTCAGCCGAGTAAAAACCATGTTTTAACCTTGAAACCAATGTATCTTGGTCATCTAGTTCAGCTGAGTAAAGCCAAATTATGAAAATACCTCATTTGTTAGTCGTTCTCAATCTTAAAATAGACATAATTTGTTTTTTATATATATTTATTAAGGAGGTCCACGAGTGAAATAAAATTAAAAAAACATTACTCTTTTACAACATGGTTCAATTACTTTTTCAAGAATCTTTATAAAAAGTACCAACAATTTAAAAACTGCCAATCCCAATGGTTGTTAGATCAACGATGATAGGAGGTTGATTCCAGTTTAAGGAACACCCAATCACTCAGATTCTCCTATGTTTAAATCATTTTATTTTCTATTATATTTAATGGACCATCCAACTCAAAAATCTGCCGAACCAATCAATATGGAATCAAACTTTTGGGAAAGATCCAATTTTAATGATTCTATTTATAAGGAAGGGTGAATTTAGTTATGGAAGTGTTTCTATAAGCCCTAGGTTTTATGAAAGAAAAGTAAAGCTTCAACTCTAATCATCGTCAAAGCACTTTGGGCATAAGAAATCTCCATAATAGCTCTAAAATTAATTTTCAATACGGACTATAAAATTTAAAACTCACATATCTAATGGATCCGTGAACACTTATTCTTAAAGCAAAATGAACGGTCTAGATAATGTATTACAATATATACCATTTTTAAGACTTGAAATCATAAAATAGATATAATTTACTTTTTTTAATATATTTATTAAGAAGGTTCACGAGTGAAATGAAATTAAAAAAGCAATACTCTTTTCCAGCGTGGTTCAATCATCTAATTAGTACTTTTTCAAGAATCTTTATAAAAAGTATCAACAGTTTAAAAATTACGGATCCAAATTGCCGTTAGATCAAGGATGATAGGAGGTTGATTACACTTTAAGGAACGCCCAATCAATCAATTCTCTTATTTTTTAAATTATTTTATTTTCTAATATATTTAATGGACCATCCAACTGGAAAATCAGCCGAACCAATCAATATGGAATCAAACTGTTGGGAAAGATCCAATTTTAATGATTTTATTTATAAGAAAAGGTGAATTTAATTATGGAAGCGTTTATATAAGCCCTAGGTTTTACAAAAGGAAAGTAAAGCTTCAACTCGAATCCTCTTTTAGAAAGCACTTTGGGCATCAGAAATCTCTATAAAGGCTCTAAAATTAATTTTCAATACAGGCTATAAAATTTAAAAGCTCATATATATAGCGCATCCGTCAACACTTATTCTTAAGGCGAAATGGACGCTCTACAATGTGTTACAATATATATTATTTTTAAGGCTTGAAATCCTATTTTTTTTCATAACCATAATTATCAAGTTGAGATAATCGATTTGAAGATTTTTCGACACCAAAACTATAATTTCACTAAGTTTTCATGTGAGATTTTATTTCTGTTGATAGAGCTGCGGCCCTATCAAACAATTTCCCTTTACAAAGGGGTGGGGGCGTGAAGATGCTCTCCAAAGTGAACGCGTATGTTTCACGTCAATGTGGATGGAGATGAATAGATAAATCCCATGTCACCCTGATTCCCTCTGTCCTTTGGGCAGGTAGTGGCGCTGATAACCTACATTTTTTTATTTTTATTTTGACGAGATTATAGTTACTTCTTTAATAATTCAAAAGTGTTACAAATGTAGATATAAATCAAAGAAAAAGTTCTTCCAAAATCAACATTTCATGCATTTGAACCTATTTAGTTGCAAGATCATCCGCAATCGCATTAGCCTCCATGTATACATGCTTGAAGGAAAGTGTCAATTGGCAGCTAATGTCACCAATTAATAATATCAATAAAATCCCGTTCTTCAACAATGCACTGGCAGGTCCTAAATCGTTGAAGGATAATACGCATACCTCACAGCAGTGTCTCCATCTCCACAGTATTTGCAGTTGCCACCCCACATGGACCTCCATAACTCAAAAGTATTTCTCCATTTGAATTCTTGATAACCCCATCATAACTAGCTGCACCTAGATTTCCATGTGAACTACTATCAAAGTTTCACTTTATGGTTCCATACAGCGGTGGACACCATACATTTTCTGGTTGAACCTTAATCATCCTTTGGCTTATTAAACTTGCAAGATTTACTGAAACATCAACTTCAGATATCCCAAAACCCTCCTTTGTGATAGAAAACCAGCTCCAAATGTTATGAATAATCATTCTCTTCACCGCACCCAACTCAACCATTCTACCTTCAGAAGCTCTATCATTTCTTTTATTCCATATCTCCCATAAAACCACAGCTTTAGCAATCTGCCAAATCATTTTACCAATTCCAACTAAACATATATCGTCCCACTGCTCCAAAATATTAACATCATAATTAGGAACAACCATTGATATCCCCAACATTTGAAATATCTAACATCAAATATTACAAGAAAAAGAGCAATATAAAAAAAAGGTCGTCACCACATTTTGCATCCTCTTTACAAAGAATAAACACATTAACCATAGTTCTACCCCTTAGAGATTTTCCAGAGTTAAAGTCTTGCCTTAAATAAAATCCACAAGAATTCACGAAATTTCAGCGGTATTGGCCATCTCCAAACTTTATACAAGGATACACAATTCCACCTCAACCTATCATAAAATAAAAGATCACATGTTTATAATTTGACCATCATTCTCAACTTCCCACACCAAATCATCAGCCATTGACTGCGAACTACTAAATATCTGGTAACCAATTTTTAGAGATCTGAATTTTCCACTATATTCCTCCCCCCCCCCCCCCCTCCACCTTCTACCATATCCACCACTTCAGCCGCTTTACAACTTGATAACTCAAATAGCTCTGGAAATTGAAATTTTAAAGCATTAGTACCCAGCCACCTATTATGTTAGAAAAGTATAGAATTCTCATTACCCAATATCCATCTAAGGCTTCCTAAAACCAAAGTTCTAGTGCCAACAATACCGTTCCACATGCGAGATTGATCGTTAGCTCTTCTACCTCTAGAAACCATTTGAGCAATAGGATCAACACCATATTTAGTGACCAATACCTCACACCGTAGCTGATCAAAACCATATTTTGCTAACAGTGCCTGGTTGACTAACTTCACTCTCCTAATACCCATGCCCCCATCCTTTTTTGGAGTACACACTCTATCTCAATTAACCAAATAGTATTTTCGACCATCTCCATAAGACCCCCAAAGAAAATTCCTCATCAATTTTTCCAAATGCTTACTTACTGATGTCGGCATTACCAACAAGTACATCATATATATATATATATATATATATATATATATATAGTATAGAGAGAGAGAGAGAGAGAGAGACTACATCGACGTACGTAGTACTACTAAGTAATAATACGTAACAACTACTACTAAGTAACTACGACGTAAGTTAAGGTTTAAGTTTTT